GCCGGGCGCGGGCCGCAGCGGCGGGCGGGAACCGCGCCGTCGGGCCGCCGCGCGGAAACCGCGAAACCGTCGACCGCTCGTTTCTCGCGCCCCCCGCCGTCGTTTGGAAATCGCCTCGGTGGAAGTGTCCGGGACGCCGCCGCGGGGGGGCCTGCCAAAGCGCGCGCGGGGCGGCCGCGCGCGGAAAAAGTTATTAGATTTTCTCGGTGATGGCAGCGACATCGGCCACTTGCTTTTGTGATATAGACGTGCTCCAATCCAGTTTTAAGTCTTATAGATACAGGTGACTCGGAATCTCCCTCCTGAGGGCACCCGGAGCCGTATACTGGAACTAGAACCGCTCTAGTTTGTTCTAGTAGGCCCCGCGGTATCGCGGCCGCCGCCGGCGGCATAACCTCGCCCAGAACCCCCCCCCCCCCCGGGGGCTCCCTGGACAGAGATGGCGCCAGACCCTGGGCTCTTACTAAGTTAAGGGCGACTAAGAGGAGGGGCAAGTTGGGGGCAAGTCGCAAACTCAGCTTCGTTGGGTTTCTCGTGTCCACCCCCCCCTTCGCCGGACGGGGCCCCAGGGAACCCGAAACGCCCCCGATAACTTTGGGTCGGTGGCTGGGGGCTTTACTCAGGCGCCGGGGGGCCGGGCGCCCCCCAAACTAGAACGCGTCGAATTTCCCGCGCTCGTAAAGTCCTCTGGCACGAGGCCAGTTGTCGAGGCTCGGACGGCTTGAGTGGCCCGCGCCATAGCAGCATGCGCAACTTTGGCGCATCGGCTTTTTTGCTGATGGGGTCGCGGGAAATTTCTGCTGAAGGTATTCTTCGTATGCGGCAAGAAGTAAGGGGTTCCGGGGAGGCCAGTAGTTGAAATTGCCAACATCTCCGCGTTCGGCTCTCCCCCCTCGCACCGTATACGGTGCAATTGGAGGGCAGCGGGTTCAGCGGGCCAGATGCAAAGTCAGCGCCCAATACTTGGTGCTCAACACTTGCGTTATTGGTTCAGGGAAACTGCTCGGGTGCATTGATTGCACTTCTGCTGGCGTTTGTAGCATTTGTAGGGCAAATGATTGGTGAAATTGGACCATCACTAAAAATGCGTGGACGCAAGGTTTATTTGATACAATCAGCAATGAGCTGAGAAATCTCGATGTCAGAAGACCGCACTGCTATCTTTAAAATACACCCCAATCTTTCCTCTATATGCAGCTGCGCTCGCACCAAGATACAGATATTTCCTGCAAATGTCCCTGAAAGATGAAGCATGTGCGGTTTCCCTAAACTTGCGTCATCCACATCGTTTGTATGATCCTCTGGCCTGGAGCAGAAGAACAAGTTCGCAAAGAGCGGGCAACATACTAGACAGTAGACTCACCGCATTCCGAGGCAAGCAATTACAGCTGCAATTGCTACTTTCATATCTTTGAACTGCAGCGAAAACTTTTGGAGCACTTCTTGAGTCTTATCAATAGATTCCCAGACTTGACGAAATTCACCGATACTGGCCTGACAATGACACACGGTATGACGATGACATTCTCAGGGTTTGATCAAACCTTCGCCATAAAATCAGTTGTTGAAATTTCGACATCCTCCAAAGGATACTCCTCGTGAAAACCTTCTTCGTCACCTTCTATCTCGCCTGTTCCAGGATCAACCTCAACAACACGGAACTTGAGCTCGGCCATGAAATGGGCGGCGGCCCCCATCCTAGATCCAGGGCAACAACGCAAAACAATCCAAGATCGAGCCGTTGCACCTAGAATTTTGGAAATGCTGTCATACATGAACATGACATGGACACAAGTGCAAACCACAATGCAGAGACGGTGCGCCCACGGAGGATACAATGCTGTAGGTCTCAATGGGTTCTACAGGCTCAAGCTTGACACCTATGCAGATGAATCGTGCAATAAAGGAGGCAGTCCACGCCGCGGGCCGACTAGTGTCTACTAGTAGCTGGTCGGCAATAGTATTTGTTATGGCAAATTCTAGGACTATGTGCTCATCCATCACGTGCTTCACACACGACACAACATATTCCGTCTCTGATTCAGTCAACTCGAGCGGAAGCGTGGACCGAAAAACGGTGCCCAGCGCGGCAAGTTCTGGAATTTTATACAGTTCAACTGCCGAATCGTCCAAAAGGGCACCGTTTGGGCAGACAGAGGATTGGGCCGTCGCCTAGGACAAGGTGTAAATGATTCTTAACCATCAAAATTATTAAGTGCCTGCAATTGAGTGGGTGGGCTGTGGTCCTCTACATGAGGTAGAGTCTCAAAGTTGAGAACAAGATCAGCATTTTCTTGGTCTTGAGCCATTTCGAACTTTTTCAGTGACCGCGCTAGGCGTGTAAATGGTACTGGTAGTGGCTCTACCAGCAATCGAATCTCCGGGAGGGTATCTCCCTCATTGCCGAGAGGTGATAGAGCAGTTTCTGCATCAATGTCATTTTCAGCAAGAGATACTACTGAGTAATCACCGAGCAAGCGCAGCGCGAAGGTTGCACGATCTCGGACCTCATCATCTTCATCGCGCAGCGAACGTCGCAAGAGTACTGACACTGATACCCGTAGCGCCGGTAGTTGCGCAGCGAATTTTGTGAGCGCTGTGACTGCAGCTGCACGCACGGTTGCATTTTCGAGGATCACGCGATTGTACACAAATCGGATGTAACGTGCCGGTGCTACTGTTGTTGGTCCTAGGATCCCAACGAGGTGCAATATTTGTGTTGACAGTGCGGTGAACTCACAGTCTTCGATGAATTCGCAGAGATGAAACAACGATGACTCTTTCGTCTCCGGAATGGCACACATCAGGGCAACAATGGCATCGACGATGGACTTTTTGAAGTCGAAGCCACCCTCTTCACGTAAAAAATTAGCAAGAAAACCGACAAGGACGCGATGCTTGAGAGGGTATTTCAGACAAAGCTCACGGATAGCGGTAACAACAACAATCTTGAACTCATCAGCAATTTCATTCATGAATGATGATATTTGTTTCATTAGTCGGTCAACAGATGATTCAGAGCCGGTCTTGAGCAATGTTGTTATTGCAAATGTTGCAATAGAGCGATTACCGTCAGCTATCAGGGATTCCATATCGTCGTTGCACTTAATGACCGCAGCTGGCTTAAATATCGCAACACTGGAGAGCGCTCGCATGGCTGCAAGCCGAAGTGTAGGCTTCGGAGAGGAAAGGAAAAGCTGCAGCACCGCAATTGCTGGGCCGATATCACGGTCTTCGGTGCCTGGTAGCGAACACAGTGCTTTCGCTGCCTCGTAGATGACAGCCTCTGAGCGATGCCGGAGTGACAACTCAAGAAATTGATAAGCAGCCCGTCCAGTCGCACTCGAGAGTACATTACCATCGGATCCTCGCACGATAGTAGTAATGTACCGAATGAGAAGGCATGTCGCTAATGGGCTTGAAATCGTTCCTCGAGTCAATTGCGCAACCATCTTTGAGATCGCAAGACGATCGTGTTGCTTTATGTCATAGAGTAAGGATAGAGCGTGAAACTGCACCATTTCTGAAGGAGAATGTAAGGCTTCCTGCACCTCGTTCACCCATCTCCTCACAACGTCTGGCGATCCTTTCATTAGATGTGCACCTGAATACATTCTCAAAAGAATTAGTCCCAAACACAGTTTATTTACCAGCAACCAGGGCGGAAGAGGCAACCATGCAATTCTTGTCAACAATCGCTTGCTTGACATATCGCTCAATCGCACCAAGCATAGTTGCATCAATCCTGGTACAAACCTTGATAAAATCAAAGCATCGAAGCAAAATTTCGATCACGCACATTTTGGCAAGGACACGAATTGAATTCGCACGGAATAAATCCTCTTTGGAATTCATGTCTTTGGTCAACGAAGAAGTCACGATGATAACATCATCAGGATTACACGTTTCAGCGACCTACGAATCTTTAATGACCCACGCAGGCAACCCACGCGGGCATCACCTCCTTGATAAAAAAATAGACCATTCTTCGCAAGGATGCATCACTAGACTGGAAGAGCTTTGTAACACCAAAGAAGACCTCTGTAACTTCGGATGAAGACATGGCGTCACCCTGGGTCACAATATGCAGCAATTTGGTGATGAGCTGGGAGCATTTCCGCGGTGAGTCGGTTACTACTTTAGAGTCCGAGAACACACGACATTCTTGAAGTACAGTGGCTTTTTCTAAATCCGCGAAAGGTGAAGCTGCGAGGGGATTAAGCGCTGTGCGATCGTGCAGATCTAAGAGAACGGCACGTGAATCCGCGTCTTCACGCTTGAACTTGTCCTTGAGACCTTGAATTTCTTTCACCATGGAGGATAGTGTCAGGCCACCACCGTCGTCCACTGTTTCTCCAGAATTCATCATCGCGCCACGATCGTAGGCGCCTAGCGACGTAAAGTGGCGGTCCGACGACATGACGGGCGGGGGGTGGGTGGGTCCGGAGGGTTTCAAATACCCAAAGTGTACTTAAAGGGTACTTGTCACGCATGCGCGCGCGCGCTATAACGAATCTAAGCCTAGCCACGTCCTCTAGTGCATATAAGTAGCTCGGACGTACCCCGTATGTTATCTCGGATTCCGGGAGTACTGACGGACGTAACTTTTTATTTCTGAGGTGTCTGACGGCGGCGCGCGGCGCCCCAGGCCGGCGAGAAAAATCACGGACGCCAGAGCAATGGTGGCCATTGAAATTAAAAATAACATGACGACAACGTGAAGCTATCCGAGCGCATTCGTCAGCTGCCGATGCTTCGTCAACTGGTTGGACATCCCGCGCTCCGCGAATATGCAGCGATGTGCAACGATCCCAGCAGCTTTGAGGTCCGCAAACATATGGACGAGGCACATGCGAAGACGCGACATCCGGACGATTGTGAGGCGATGCAAACGGACCGCTTCAGGGGGTGGGACGAGGCGCGGCAGCTTCCCCTGACCCGATTTTGAGTCAAATTCGAGCCACAGAGCGTCGGGAATCGTTCGTCATGAGGGCGATCAGATGCGTTCGCGGCAGCTTTCCGGCTCGAGTCGATTTGATCGAGATCACCTCATCGACTCCGAGAGGCGCGAGCGTCGCGAATGCCACGGCGCTGACCGCGGAACGCATGTTCCGAGCTGGCAGCGCAGTCCTTGCCGGGCCAGTCGAGAAGGACAATCGAGGGGATGTCACCTCCCACTCTCGCTGCCAGCTCGACCCCTGGTACGAGGTTGGCCCCCCATCGACCGCCGTTCACCGTCAATGGCCGTTCTCATCATCCATGGGCTGCCCCGACGCGAGCTAAGTTGGTCGCCTTCGACCGATGGCGTTTCCCGAGCGATTCGCTGCGGGCCCCGAGGCGCGGCACGGTCCACAGATCGAGCGCAGCGCCAAATCTTAGCATCGCTGCATCGATGCACGAGCAGAAGCGTTGTGCAGGACGGCTGAACTCGCGGCTGACAACCGTTGGCCTTCATCGTGGCTTCATGTTATTTTTAATTTCAATGGCTGCTGTTGCTTTGGCGC